CTGACTGACTGTAATTTCATGTACATATTTAAACGTACCATTTTTTCATATCAAATATGGGGTATTAATATAAAACTAATGAGGCACATGGCATCGTGCCTTAAGGCAATATGCTGGAACTTCCCGTACCGTAATTAAACATTCAAAGAATAAAAATAATCAGTCAACAAAAATGTTTATGTATAAATTTATAAAACAAAATCAAAAACTAGCTGTAAGTGGAATTCAGTCTTAAGGCAATTAAGGCATCGTGCCTTGAGGCAAATTGCTGGAACTTCCCGAACCGTAACGAGATGATCGAGGAATATTAAATGTTTTAAAATAGATTATTATAAATATTGTAGCATTGTCTAATATTTATAAGAATTATATAAACTGAATTGCAAAGTTAAAATCACTTGTTTGAAGTATATTAAAACTTTAGTCAGAATTAAAAATAAAATCTGAATTATTTTCGATATACAAAAAAAAAAATTGGAACAAAAGTTTTTAGATCATTCAAATCGGATACTCCGTTCTCTCAAAAAGCCGATTTCTATTTTCTGCACTCTTTGCTCAGTATCCCCGAAACGGCTGGACATGCCTTTGCCAAAAACTAATCAGCTCTTTTCCCTATCGATAGGAATCGAATGTTCTTTGAACCATTCAAATCGGTTGATCCGTGCGCCCGAAAACGTGACTGTAAATTTGTATCCATACATACACACACACACACACACACACACACATCCATTTTTTCTGAGGTATGCCAAAACGTTCAGAAACCTCCAAAACGTCGAGAAATGTAAATATTTTCAGCTCCGATTTTCGGCCCATTACAATAACTTACCCTACGGGAAGTTAAAAATGTGAAAAATTGCTCCTTGCACCAATGAAAAATGATGAGCATTGCAGAAATTTTAATAATAAACTTATAACATGTAGATACAAAAATTCATTAACTTTGCCTTTTATGAAAAACTAAGACGTACAAAAATAACAAAATAATGACTGAAAAACTAGTAACTAACATTTTACATTAAATGAAAGGAATTATAGTATGAATTCAAACTAACTGTAATCAAAGGTTCAAGATATATTCACAAACTAGTCACATATTAGTATGACAAAACTACATGCCAAAAAGTTTTTAAAATTAAATTGATATTAATTATAGAGTTAATATTTTGTTAATTTGCACTGATAATACAAGCCATAATCTTGATACTTCTGTAATTTAGAACTTCATAAAATAAAGCTAGTGCAAAAAAGAATGCAGTGTTTTTATATATATTAAATAATGTTTGTTTTTCTTATGACTAAATGAATTCTTATGAAAATCCTACTGATATACACTTCTGCCGATATATATATCGGCAAAATCATAAATTGCTGACTGATTTTGAATTCTTAAATTGCTAAATTTTTATAACTTGAGAATTTTAAATTTTTTAATTCTTGAGAATTTTCTGCTAAATGATAACTGCTCAGAAACTAGTCGAAATTCATAATTATTTTTTCATTTATTATTTTAATTCGACGTATATATATTGGAATATTTAAATTAGTTATATCTCAGTCAATTAATAAGACATGATCAAAAGTGGTTCAACATTCCGTTCCCAAAAACATTTTTTTAATTACGAATCTAGGTTAACATAAAATCATATAATCGCAGAGACAAATTTAAAAAGCCTTTGAATTTAATTATCTGCCATCCATCAAATTACGAGGAGATAATTGGATCAAAGTTATTTTACGAAATAAATCAAAGGAGCCATTTTCTTAATTTCCGCTCAACAATATCAAATTCAGAGATTTCGTATAATTTAATTTTCAATAAGTTTTCAGCTATCTTAAACTTCTGCACATTAGTTGAGCTATCTAGTACTTCACTGAACTTTTAATTCGCGTTAATTTAAAAAGGAGTTAAGAAAACAAAGTATTGCATAATATCAAAGTTAGAACACGAACGAGTTTCAGAATTTTGCATTCGTTAACTATAATTCTGTAAACTTTTTCAATGTACTTAAGTTTACTTAATTAATCATCGTAATTCAGCATGATTAAAAAGAACAGGCGCTGTTTGTGACATTTATTTCATAAATGATGACATCGTTTGCTCATTTGATTATCAATGTCCATTGGATTTTAGTTAATGGAATGATAGCTACGGTTCGGAAAACAATGTTCATATCATACACAAAATGATTTATTTTATTACACTGAATTTGATAAATATTGAATGAAGAGGTAATTTTACGAATATAATAAAAAAATCAGTTGATAATAAAATGTGTATTACTTTTTGTAAAAAGTTTTTTTTCAATTTTTCATTGCACCAATATTTTTTTAAAATCACTTCACCTTTTTTTATTAAGAGTCAATTTATACTTTTAGTAAAAAGTTTTTTTTGCAATTTTTCATCGCACCAATATTTTTTTAAAATCACTTCACCTTTTTTATTAAAAGTCAATTAAAAAAAAAAAAACACACAATTTTTGTAACAGTTTCTCTTTACTTTCAAAAGTGAGATGCATCATATAAAAGTTTATGTACTATAAACTTTTGTAGTTTCTAGTTTCTGCTTAGTTATAAGAATCCTATAAATCTTGTGTGATATTTCTAAGAAAAATAAGTTCTTCTACATCAAGTTGATGTTCTTGCTACATTTCTTGTTTGCAATGTTTTATAAACAGACGATATTTGAAATCGAGAAAGCGCAGAGAGAAAGCAGATATCAGGCAATAAATTGAATGATAGCTTGCTATCGGAAACTTGCATAAACGGGGACACAAATGTATGTATTTCACTGGGTGTGAACAAAAAATGAAGTTTGGAGCTTAAAACTCACGATTATTTGATAAAAAATATAGTGCCAGAATTTTTATTCTAAACTAAAGTAAGTGAAATATGATACAAAAATGTACATGTTCTACTTGTACTCACATATTGCTCTTAGGTATTTGCTTGATAATGCCTGATAATTTTGACATTTTCATAAAAAAGCTTCGCAAAATCATGGCTACCTAAATGAAGGTTTTAAAGTTTTTTTTTATTTTTATTAACGGCAATAAAAATTTGTGATGGAATTACTTATGGATTAGCATTAATACTAGACAGTCGTGATAAGATTTTTATTAGATATTTTTGATAGAGATATTATACATAAATGCAGCAGTGCTTCGTAAAGCTTTTTTTTACTTCTTTTACTATAATATATATTTCGGGTCTATATCCTCAAGCCAAAACTAATACAACTGCTATTTAATATTAGATTGACAGAGACGAAAATAAAACCATAGTACTTTGGCAAGGCCAAACCATTTTACCTGAACCGTGAACAAGCTCGTGCTGCAAAAGTAATGAAATGCATTTTAAACTTAATATATGATTAACTTTACACCGAAACTTTAATATGTGTAACTTTTCATTGTTGATTGGGTTGATCCGAGGTACAATTTTCAATACCCGATACTTCTAGCAGTACTGATATCAAGCAGTAGTAATATCGGTTTTTACTTGGAAATATACCATAGATAGCAATATGTTGCAATCGGTATTGCTTCATCAATGAAAAAATCATCTCTATTACATAAATTCTAAAAATAAAAATTAATCTCACAGAGATAGTGCAACAGGTTTGGTTGAAATCTATAAAAACCGACATAGTTTAGTCAAATCATTGCAACAGATTATAAAACTCTTTATCTCTGTTCGATGTTCAAATAATTATAATAAAAAAATTGTCATAGTAAAATCAATAGATGTTAATGCACGTGAATCTATAAATAGATTTTTCCGCCTACATTCTTAAATATTGAACAAAGTGATGCCAAAAAATTGCATAATACTGTTTAGAATTAGCACATTTTATCAGAAGAACTTCTCTTATATGCAATATGGTATTGGATTGCAAAAACTGTGAAAATGCAAAGTAACACCATAATTTGCAAATAAGTGATATGTAGATACAATTAGTTATTTCTTTGATTAGGATTTTTATATACTTGGTTCAAGGCAAGTTGAAGTAAGTTCTCGTGGAAGCAATCGATTTTCAATAAGAGGTAAGATTTGGCTACTTAAATAAATTTTCATTTATTTATTCAAAAATAAATGGTTTTTGGTTTCACTAAAACAAATAAATGCATTTTCCAATAAACGTGTGTTAATGGATTCATAAAATATATAATTATATTAATGATAATGTACAAACATGCGCATAATAACGATGACTCTTACTTCAAACATTAATTTTTATAACTCAATCTCTATGTGTATGCTTCTAAAATTTTAGGATATTAGTTTAGAAAGATCAAGGTCTCAAAAGTTACAAGTTTGTAACTTTTGAGATCATACACTCGAAAGTTGCAAGTTTTATGTATAACGCCTTATTTTTTTAACATTTAGTTATGATTTACAAAAATCGGCTTACCTACAAAAACAAGCACATACATTTACCAAATTTGGTCTCGAACCATTCAGAATTACTCGAAACGCTGAGAAAACACAATTAGAAAGTCGGGTTGTTTTTTGAAAACAATCATCTCCGTTCAGATAGATAATTTCCAAATTAATGTTAAAATTTTAAAATATGTCAAAATATAAATACTTAAATATACATTATTTAAATTGAATTCGCAATTATTAATTTAAAACTTTGTTAATTACTTGTTTCATTCGAATAAATATGAACAATGCAAAATTATCCAATCGAACAAAATAGTCCCGGAACAATAAATTCAACATGGATATTATTTTTATAGAAGATCAATTTAAAAGTGACGACAAATTTTATGGCATCCCGGAATACAAATCATGACCATATCATTCCGATGGCAATAAAAATAACGTTATGTACGGTTAACACATCAAAACGCGTACCACTACATTCTACATAAGAGATGAGCGGCGAATGCCAAGTCGCACACATTACACTGTATGTTTTCCTCTCTACGAAGTGTTGACGGTCGCACGCAGTAAAATTAAAGTTTAAAAGCGCATAAAATAAAAGGCCTTACCGTTTTATTGCCTAAGTTCTTGACACGGCAATTCAGATAGGCGGTCTTTCCCAGTAAAGCGGTCACGTTCTTAGAGGCGACTTTGTCGAAATAAGGTCCACCGTTTCGGGGATGACCGGTCGCCGAGTCGATCGCGTTGCCGCTAACCGGAGGCGCGCCGCTGCTCTCTTTTTGCTGTTGCTGCTTGCCGGATGGCTCGCGTTGGGCGCCCATTACTGTAATAAATAACAGATATATTAATTCTGAAAAATGGATTTAAATAATAAACATAGATATATGCAATTTATATAATATATACTAGGGAATGCAATACCGATCAAAAATTTAATTACCGGTATTTCGATATTTTCGACTTTTAAAACCGGTAAACCGGTAAATTACCGGTAATAAGATTATTTTTAAAAAATGTAAACAAAATTGAAAGTTACTTATACAAATATAAAAAACAGACCTAATAAAGATAAAAATAATAATAATAAAAACCAAAGAATAAAAGAACAATTGAACAACAAAACATTTATTTTTAATAATAATGTAACAAAATAATATAAAAATTAATAAAATATAATTACATGAATAAAAATAGTTTATTATAATTACTTATGCGAACTAAAATAAGATTTTAAAAAACAAATATGATCTAACGTACCGTCGTCTAATCGATCTTATTTTGGTATTTATATGTTGAGCAGCTGAAAAAGCTCTTTCCGACTCCACGCTTGTTGGCGGTATTGTTAATAAATGTTCATATGCAAGTTTTAGATGTACCCCCCTAACACATTTTGCTACTTGTCCTTGTTTGGCAACTAAATAATAATGCCACACAGAATTCACCTCGTTTCCTTTCTTATGTTCTTGAAATATATTGGTTTCTGAATTCATACTATTGATTAAAAAACAATTGTTTTAAAATTAATAATTTTCCACAAGCACGAAGTAAACAAACTTTCCTAAAATTACTTAAAACTTCACTTATTGGAAAAACACTCCGCACTGAATTAAAAAAATATATTCTCAAATAATTAATTTAGTCAATTTATAATTTCGCACAAGCACAAATTTATCAAACTTCACTACAAAATTGTATCTACGCGTTGAAAAATAACTTTGCACTGAACTACTAATTTCTATTCTAAAACAATTATTTCACTAAATTAATATAACTAAACAACTTTCGATCTCAATTTGTATCTACGTACTGACAAAACACTTTGCAATGAACAAATGGCTGTGGAGTTGTATTAGACAATATTTCAATTGGCACTCTAGTAACTTCCACAAAGAAAAATAATTCCCCGAATTAATGCCTAAAGAAAATAGTAGTTCCCCGAATAAATTTAAATAAGTAAATACACTAAAAAAATAATGTTTCTCCGAGTTACTATATAACTAGTGCTAGAAGAGTCGAGACAAATTATCGATATCGAGTGCTGAAAAAATAATCGTTGCTAAAATAACAGTAACAAAAGTATTAATACTACTCAATATTGACTATTGAGTACTTTTTATCAAAATCAATATTTTACACAAGTTATTTTGATACTAAATCAATATACGAAACTTTATTTAAAACAATATAATGATCCTATACTATTCTCAAAATGCGACACTTTGTACGTGAAATATATTTAATTTTTTTTCAAATTTTCAGGATTAAATTACAATCTGTTTTTTAAAAAAAAATACTTTCGATAATTATGATTAGCATGTATTAAGTTAGTATGTATTACCCACTAGTAAGCCCATGTCACTTTAAAAATCCGTTACATTTATATATTTATAAGATAAAATAACATCATTATTGATTAGTCCGTTCTATTTATTGAAATACGATATGAAGCCCTTTGAAAAGTAATAAATATTCAGTTTAATGACGAGTCGAGATAATATTTTGACACATGTTTATATAACACAACAGCGTGAAGTGATATTTCTTGTCAGCGATCATGGGATTTAAAACATGTACATATGTAACATGTATCCACAAGCGCCATGTAAAAATATCGAAAATACCGGTATTTTTAAGTTATTTACCGGTAAAATTACCGTCGAAAAATTAAGCGGTTTACCGGTAATTCGGTATACCGGTAAACCGGTATTGCATTCCCTAATATATACATGGACATATGAAAGAGCATAGCTCTGTACGGATCAGAGACATGTATTCTAAGAAAGGCTGACAGAAATTATCTGGAGAGTTTTGAAATGTAAAATTGAAAACTGCAGATGACCAAAGAAGGTAAATCGAGCAGACATAGTGACAAATAAAGAAATTTTGAGAAAAGTAGGCGAAGGACGAACTTTACTGTGCACGATCTTGAACTTTGAAGGTATAATAGAGAAACTAAAAAAAGGACAGGAAAAAAGAAAAATGCAGATAGTTGATAACTTACGCAAAAATAGAAAATATAGCGAACTGAAAGCAGGAAACATGGTAGAAGAAGTTTGTAAACAAAAATGCACACGTGTATAAGAAAGTGACTCTCACACCATGCAGCTGTCTTCGGGCAGACTACTATTTGTTATTGTTACATGATTGATGTTTTATATATTCTTTACTCAATATGCTTTGTTTATATATTATTTTTTATTGCTTTTTCTGTATTACTCGTTAACTTTAATGGTTTCATTGTTTAGCAATGATAACATTTGAACATTAGTTAATTCACAATATTGTGTCTCTTATAAATTGTTAAATATTTTTAGTGTAGCTTGGGAGATGATCAAATCAGGAGACACCTCTAAGTCACGTGACTTTTTTTCTAACCCATAAGTTGTAGTAATCGCAAAACCATCAAAAATGAAAATTTTGATATATATATATATATATATATATATATATATATATATATCGTTCCAAGACCTCTTGAACATTATGGAATAATCATCATAATCATAAATGCATGTGTGTGTGTTTTCACGCTTACCGTCAGTGAGTGTATTTTATTGAATTTTGTTATGAATTTTATTGACCTTATGATAAAACACAAATTTAACTCGAGAAAACCATTTTTATCAAGAGCTGTTAACCCTTTTAATTTTCCCACTGTACAAATATATTCCAATGCGCACAAACAGTACTTAGTTTATAAATGGTTTGCATGAAAAGCAATTATTCAAAAAAAAAAGAGAAATTGAAAATAAAAATCAGAAGATAAGGTTATTGATATGAAAACGGTACCATATAGATTTATGGTAAAGCTGTAAAATATTCCATTATATCATTTTTTCAATTTAAGTCAATTTGCTGGGCTGGCGTGCCCAGCAAATTGACAATAATTTAAATGTTAATCAAAAATTAATGAGTTAATAAAAAACGGAGTATAATATATCAAAATCTTGAAACTTTAAATATGCCAATTCAATTTAAGTAGAATCAGTTTCAGATTAAGCGAGCTCTTGCAAAGGCTATAGATATGACCCTGGAACTTATGGGTGGGTAAACTATTCATATATTTTTGTTAGCTGCCCCTTTCACTTAAATACCACCTTTGCAACTAGTTAGTTATTTTTATCCTAAAACATTTTATACTATAAATATTTTTTTGGCAAAAAACATTTGCCGGGTTAGCAACTAAAAACATATCATTTAGGTATTCCAATTTTATTGCTGTTTTATCTGAACATGAAATTGTATTCTCTAGTCTTTCCCAGAATTTTTCTTCCTATTTGGTCGGTTTCTCCGAATTAAAGAATGTCAGGATTGGTTTCTCGAACATAGTACAGATTAATTTTGACATAAGTATATCTTTCGGTTGAATTTTTAAAACGTTATGAAACATAATATTATTACAAATACATTTCAAATCATCATACTTCTTATAACAAGATCGCAGTTTAATTTCTATTGACGTAATAATACGTCACTGTTTCATACAGGTTTTTTTGACAAATGTATTCAACACATTATTTTTTAACTCTGTTTTATTTAGCAATCAGAAATACATAAATATTCTTATGAGCTAAATTGACAATATTTAAGAGCGATGCCTAAGAAGAACCCATGAAATTTTTTGTCGTTTTGACAAATATATTCGTCAACACATAATAACTATATTTGTCAATCACATAAATGGTTAATAAAAGTTATTTTGATCATAATATTGGGTTCCTTAAAAAAGTCTTTGAATTACATGTTAAGATTGATTACATAGGTCCACAAAAAACAGTTGTCTGTATTAGATGTACGGCATATGCCTTCCAACGTAGTTTTTACCGCTAACACGAATCTAATGTCAAAATTGAGGGCCATGTGACAAAAAAATAAATAAAGTTAATAAAACAACAAGACTTCTAACCTACTCATTTTCTGGCATAATACTTAAAATCTCATAATTTCTATCGTTTCTTGACCCTAACAAATGTTTATAAAAGACTGCTGTACTCCATAGAAATAAAATTTATGGATTATAATTGTAAAACTCAATTTTGAGTTAAAAATGAGCCAGGAAAGGGATAAAAATTATATGTATTTAAGTATCGTGCAGAAGAATTACTAGATCGGAAATCTTGTTTATTATTTTATTATTCCAATTTGTTGCCATTAGACCCCCAATTAACACTTTAGATTCGTGTTCAAAACATCATTGGAAAAGACATCCCTCACCCATATACATACAAGTTTTTTCTGTGAATCTGTGTTGTTTAATTAATAAATTTAATATTTATACGTTTATTGGACACACAAATTTTAATAATAAAATATTCTACAGTGAGTGATTGCAGAATTTAAATTAATTCTTATTATTCAAACATGATGAAGTTAAGAACCGTCCCCAGACTAAATTATAGATTCATTTTGCGTATCAAGGTAATATATGAATCGGCAGAATGGCAATGTTCTGAACGTCAGTTATAACGTTGTCGTATCTCAATTTGATAAAATTCGAGTTATGGCGTGTTTCGGAATTGGAATGTAGATGGTGAAATAGACGTATACATTAAAGATTTATATTGGCACATACCCAGGTGCGTTTCGGATCAGCATACTATGATATGAAATAACGTTGTGTACACCCAGACATGTCTAGACCGTGCAGCGTCCTAAATAATGTATGGCCGGGAAAATCGTTACTGCCCGGTTTGGTTTACGGGATATGCCGGTTCGGGCACTATTTTCGTGGATAAATAAATAGTTCGAGAATAGTGAGAATTCTGATCGATATCGGAAATGAACCACTGAAATAGTTAGATACGGATAATTAAATTGCAAATT